ACTGATCAAGTTGAGGGCAGAATACAATGAAAGCTGAGCGACCTACTTGAGGTAGCAGATCTAAAACTTGGCCTTAAAACTAGCTGATTACAAAGCCTAGAAAATGGGTTAGTGTACTGGAGGTGAGCTATTAGGACCACCCAGAGGCTTTCAAATATACACTGTCTCCACCAACCCTACCATCCAGAGTCAAAGCCAGTGCTAAGGTGAATCAAGGCAGGGGAAGACTTTCCAGTAGTTTCCTAGACCAACTACCATGGGTTCGAGCTGGCCACCAGCAGCTGTGGCACAGGGAAGCTGTTTTTGTCATGAGATCTGAAAGGTGAGTGGGATACAAGAAGTGAGAAATCTGAGGGTTTATGATTCAGAATGTGACTGGCAGGGCAGGAAATCTAGATGGAGTGCACAGGAAGCCTAGGAGAGCTCATAACTATAAGAGGAATGCCTGGGGTTACTACAGTTGACCTTCAGCCATGGTCTGGCCATGTCACTCCAAGATTTTTTTGTTGCCCCAGGCTGAGGACCCATTTTCTTACAGAGAGCACCTATCTGACTGGACTCTCTATGTCCCTGTCAGAGCAGATGGTGACTCTGAGCAGCTGAACTTTCTTTGAGCTGGAGCCTTGACCTGGAGGTCTAATCAGCAATCCAAATCTCACAAGTTTCAAAATGGAAGGTGCTTAAAACTCCCCCAGGAGTCCTGTTAAAAAGAAGGTGCTGACCCAGCAGGTTCTGAGGGTGTGGGAGACCCTGCCTCCAACAAACTCCCTGGTGGTACTCATGCTTCCTGGCCACAAGCCACACTCCAGTTGCAAGTCCTTTCCCTAGCGGTTCTCCAACTACATCAAATCTGAACCACCTGGATCTCTGATGGAGTGAAATGCAACCAGTGTAAGACACCAGGCCAAGCTACAGCTAACAACCTTTGATAGCAATCCCTTCAGTAACCCTCCTCTCCTTGGGTCTCTACTGATGCTCTTCTTGCCTCCTTCCTTCTCCTCTGTCTTCATGACAGCACAGAGAGACCGGGCCCACAAGCTTGGAACACAGTTGCTTTTCATATGAAACAGACAAGCATAATCTGCCTGCACACTGATGACTAAAAGTTCTGAAGTACAACTCTCTGATTGTCCCAAGACAGTGAGAAGGGTGAAAATGAAATGAAGGAAGCCCAGAGGTGGGTAGCAAGGCACCTAGTTTTCTCCTCCATATCACTGAACCTGGGTGGGATGCAGAGGAAGACTTTTAAAGCTCCTTCCATGTCTCTGCTCAACAAAGCCAGAACATCACCCCTGTCCCAACACCTTCTGAGATACAGAAAACATCTTTGATCTGGGACTTGGTACAGTCCAAGGCTTTTCCTGTGTGGCCCAACTTGATGTCATGGATCTCCCATGATACTTCTTGATGCCCTCTAACTCTGGTTTCTCTCCCCCAAAGCTCAAGTTCAGTGCTGACACTGGTAGACCCCACTACCTAGAGCAGGGTTGACAGTCCATGGCCATAGTCCAGGTTCACTCAGCCACTACTAAAAACACAGGTACCAGATGTGCTTACCTGCTGAAAACTTTCATATTATATTATTCTGAACCTCAAATGTTATCCTTAATTTATTGTGTACTTTGTAGCTTTTAGTAGTAGTAGTAGTAGTAATATTATTATTATTACTATTGTTGTGGCATTTAAACTCATAATTTTTAGTTTACAACTCTAAAACAAAAACAAAACTATACTTGAGAAAAGGAAAGTTTGGCTTTTATCTTTTTGTTTTGTTTTGTTTTGAAACAGGGTTTCTCTGTGCGGTCCTGGCTATCCTAGAACTCACTTTATAGACCAGGTTGGTCTCAAACTCACAGAGATCCATTTGTCTCTGTCTCCCCAGTGCTGGGATTAAAGGCGTGCCATCACATCCTGCTTTATCAAGATAATTTGTTATCGTGGTGCAGGGGTGCCTTCGACCAGAGGTTAATACTGGATTCTTCCCCAATTGCTCCACCTTATGTTTTGAGATAGTGTTTCTCAACAACCAGGAGTTTTCTGATTTCTTAAATTATTTTTAAAGATTTATTATTTATACACTGTTCTGACTGCATTTATGCCTCCAGGTCAGAAGAGGGGACCAGATCTCAATACAGAAAGTTGTGAGCCAACATGTGTTGCTGGGAAATGAACTCAGGACCTCTGGAAGAACAGCCAGTACTTTAAACCTCTAGCTTGGCTGTCTCCACCTCCCAGCACTGGGATTTCAGAAGCATGATGCTGAACCTTGCTTAAGTTTAAAATAATTTTTTGGGTACATGACGGGGAAGTCCTGTGTATATGTCAATAAAGCACTGTTGGCCAATAGGGAAGCAAGATAGATAGGTGGGACTAGGAGTCCAGGAGGACTCTGGGTAGGAGAAACACAGGGAGCCAAGATGTAACTGCCATAGGGGTAAAAAGCCCAGATCTTTTTCCCCGGTAAGAGAAATACTTAGATTGGCAGTTATGGGGTAAATACTTAAGTCAAAGATAGCCAGTAAGAAACAAGCAAGGCCAACAGCTTCATAATTAATACAGCATCTTGTGTGTTATTTGGGGACTACAACTTGGCAGAGCCCAGGCGACTGGTGGGGAAAAAACAAAGTGGCTGGCAAGGAAAAGGTTTCACTCTACAGGTACATGCTGGGAATTGAACTCAGGGCTTCATGCACAATAAGCAGATGATCTACCATTGATCTATACTCACAGCAACTGTAAAATTTTCTTTCTTTACCAAAAGACATTAAGGGACCGTGGAGATGGCTAAGTGGGTAAGAGTGCTTAATCTGTAAGCATGGGGACCTGAGTTTATCTCCAGCACTCCCATAAAAATCTGGGCATGCCAGGAGTAGTGACACACACCTTTAACTCCAGCACTCTGGAGCAGAGGCAGGTGAACCTCTGTGAGCATGAGGCTAGCCTTGTCTACACAGCTAGTTTCAGGATAGCCAAGCTATATAGTGAGAGACCCAAAGCCTGTCTCAAAAAAAAAGAAAAAAACAAACAAACAAAACAAAGGCTTGGTCTGCTTTCACATACTTGTAGCCCTAGCATTGGAGAGTGGAGAAACTTGGATCCTAAAAGCCCCGTGGCTAGCCAGCATAGCCCAAACAGTAGGCTTCTAATCCTGTGAGAAGTCCTGACTTAGGCAATAAAGCAGAGAGTAATCTAGAGAGAAAGCTTGTGAATGCACAGGTGTGGACACTTGTGTATACTCACATGGACCACACACAAGCAAGTAAATAAAACAGTGTTCAATAAAAAAAAAAAAAAACAGAATTGTTGGTAGCTGCCTCTTGAGAAGCTGACACCAACACTAGGGGTGTGCCATCCTTCCCTAAGCAATTCTCTCTCACTAAAGCTCATGCTTAAAACTCTGCTCTTTTCTTAATAAACTGCAAGTTGGTTAATAAAAAAGAAAGGCGGCTTGAAGTACGATGAGGACAACCTTCTGGTTTTGGTGGGGAGACATGTACACTGTTCTATAGGTTATGATAAAGTGTGAGGGGCATCTTGAGTGGGGGACCTTGGCAGATTCCACCATGGCAGGCAAGGGTGCCCGAGGCAGAGGGACAAACACGCCAGGTCAACAGAGCTTAAGTGAGAAGCTTTATTAGAAAGGGAAGGGAAGGGGAGAGGAAAGAGAAAAGAGGTTAAAGACACAAAAGTGGGCATTGGTGGAGCACACCTTTAATCCCAGCACTCGGGAGGCAGAGGCAGGTGGATCTCTGCGAGTTCAAGACCAGCCTGGTCTACAGAGCGAGTTCCAGGCCAGCCTCCAAAGCAATACAGAGAAACCCTGTCTCAAAAAAAAAAGAGAGAGAGAGAGAGACACACAGACAGAGAGCGGACAGAAGAGAAGAGGGAGGGAGACAGGAAACATCCTGTCTGCCACAGGGCAACAGTATGAAAGAGTGGAGAGAGAGCAAAAAACAGAGGAGAGCAGAAGGAGAGCGTAAGTGGGCATAGGTCTTACTTTTAAAGGGGTCCTTTGCATCTGGGCTCACCTGAGGGCATTTTGCCAGGTGACAGGGGCAGGCCAGAATAATGCCTGAATCCTTACCCTGTTAGTTCCAATTTCTTGGCTAGCCAGCTAGGTTGTGTAAGTTTACAACTTCCTTTGCCAACTTGCCTTTTTTTTTTTTTTTTTTTTTTTTTTGGTACTAAGGTTGGACCTGGGCCTGGGCCTCACATACACTAAACCAATTGTTTTGGCTACTCATCAACTATGTATTTATGTTATCTATTGCAAAAGACAAGCTAATTTTGCTAGGACTGAGCTGAATAAGACTGATAAGCACTGTTCACGTGTCCCACGGTACTAAGCACTTTGCATATACTGTTCACATTTAATCAACCAAGAAAAGAAGATATCCCTATCTGCACTTCCAAGATAAGGAACTAAGTCACAGAGAACTAAAACCACTGAACCTCACCTGAGCAGCTGAAAGACCTACAATTTTAGCCTAGCTCTAGCGGGCCACTGCTCTAACCACTGAGCAATACAGTTACAAGGTTCTTAAGAGTGTCAACCATCTGCCATTCATTGGCTGACTCACTCATTGATTAAATACTGAAGGCCCATGGGGCAAGCACCTATCTGCCTGGTGCCCAGGGTACTGGTGAGGTTGCTAGGAGATAGTGATAAGCTCTCCCCGTGGTGCTGAGCAGGGGCTGTGCTTCAGACTGATAAGGTACACCAGACTACAGGAGAGAGAGGCTGGGGGAACCTGGAAGGAGATGAATGGAAAGGACAGCTAACAGATACTGTGGCTTTGGTAAGAGAATGTCCCCACCCTTCTGTGAGGCACCAGAGTTAGACACGAGAACAAGCATGCCAACTCCCACTCCCCGACCCCACCTCCTGGCTACTTTCCTATAGACCAAGCACAACTGGAGGGCAAAGGGCACAGGGACTTGTGGGTGCTCACTGATGAACTCCATGTGGCTCAGCCTCTCAGAGAACATGGAAAACTTACCTAAAAGGATGATCAAAAACGACAGAAAATCCTGTATTTTGCACATCAGCACTGGGTTCACAGTACTAGCTGGTTATCCATGCATCTTGCTTAGTATACAACATCTTTCATTAACTTGAGACTTGGCCAAAGCAGATCACCAATACATATCTGTGGGAGAAGAAATGGGTTAGGGGAGGGGCGGCTAAGGTGTCACTTAAAGGAATAAGTGAAAATAATGTATTCTTAAAATGAAATTTTATTTTAGAAAATTTATTTATTAAGACCTATTTTAGAGTTCTAGATCTACAAAAAAATGATTATGTACAAAATTCTCATTTAACTGATTAGCAACTTATGGTACATTTGTCACAATTAATGAACCAGTATTGACACATTATTATTTGGTTTTTGAGACAGGATTTCTCAGTGTACATTCCTGACTGTCCTGAAACTCACTCTGTAGACCAGGCTGGCCTCAAACTCAGAGATTCACCTGCCTCCACCTCCTGAGCCCTGGGATTAAAGGTGTGTGCCATCACTGCCCAGCTCATTGGCACATTATTAACTGAAGCTACACATCATTCAGATTTCCTCATTGTCTACTTAACGTCTTTCATCTGTTTCTGGGTCCACCCCAGGACTCCATGCTAAATTTCATTGTCAGTACACCCTCAGGGTCTCCCAGAGGGTGATGATTCTTGTTTTCCTTGTCATGGATGACCCTGACAATTTTCAGTGGATATGTCCTGTTGGTATTGATTTTAATATTTTCCGGTGATTAGGAGGAAGACTAAGACAATGAATCATTCTTATCATCAGACCATTTCAAAGGACAAATTCCCAACAGTGACTTTCCTTATGGACCTTGGTCCATGGGGTTGATTAATGTTATCCAAAGCTGACCAGTGTGGTTACTCTTCCCCCAAGTTCCATTTATTTTGTGACATGGCACACATGAGGACTTGGGAATCCCATTCCATCTTCTTGATGGCCAGATATCTATATAAATGCTTGGCATGGGAAATTTGTCTGTTTTCCCTCATTAATTTATTTTTATTAGTGTGGACTCATGGATAGTTTATACTTTGATTATAATTCAATACTATGGTACTCTTTCTGTTACTCAAATTGTCCCAGTCTTGGCTACTGGAGGACTCTTTCAGTTGGTCCTGGGGTCCTTTGACACTCCACTAAGATACGGGTTTTGTGTGTGTCTTTACTTTCTGGCAATTCAAGATACTGTAGAAGCAACCTGTAGACTTCTGGCCTCAAGTGTGGAAGAGCTTATTTCCTCTTCTCTTGCTTCCTTTCTTGGGGAAAGCACTAGAATCTAATTTCTGGGGCTAGCTGTTTGAATGGTTATCAGGGCGTCATGACTTTTAGGGCTTTTAAGGTACAAGAGCAAGAAAATATACATGTATAACATTTATATACACATATATGTTTGCATGTAGAGACATATGAATATCCCTATATACCCATCTGTATCCATATTAAATGTAAGTATGCACTGAATCTTGAACCTGAATCTAATCTAGTTCCCTATGGCTCATTCTAGTCATTCTAACAGGTCACAGCAGTACCTCATTATTTTAAATTTATTTATGTGTTTACTTTTTTGGCTTTTTTGAGACAGGGTTTCTCTGTATAGTCCTAGCTATCCTGGAACTAGCTCTATAGACCACACTGGCCTTGTACTTATGTGTTCATATGTACACATGTGTTTGAGACAGGATTTCACTCTGTATCACAGGTTGGTCTCACACTTGTGTTAGTCCAGGTGTGAACCACTATGCCATCTCAATTGTTGCTGTGGTGGTAGCCATGGTCGTTATGTCTCATATATTTATTTAATTTTATCTTTTATTACATTTACTTACTTATTTAGAAGGGAATGCACATGCTATGACAATCATGGGGAGGTCTAAAGATAAACGTTTGGGAGTCAGTTCTCTCTTTCCACCATATGGACCCAAAGGATCAATCTTGTGTTGACTACTTGGTAGCTCCTTTATTCTCTTTACACAATTACTTTAGCCTGACTGTTTTTGGTTTGATGATGTTGTTTTTTTCTGAGTTAGTTTCATGTAGCCCAGACAAAGGCTGGTCTTGAACTCCTGATCTTCTTGTCTCTGCCTCCCAAGTGCTGCAATGATATATGCCTGTAATTTGTTATAGATTTCATTGACATTTCCTTAAAAAACTGGTGCTAGAAATTCTTTTACATACTTACATACTACTTGTACATATTCTTAAAGTTTCTGTTCAGATATTGGTCCCATTGTGGGGGGGAATAAGATTCAGTTGGATGTTTTCTTATCATTGAGCTATTTGTATATTTGGGGGGAAACTACTTTCTTCACCAAAATATCACAAGAATGATCTCCAGGCAGCATACTAAAATTCTTCTCTGAAATCTCTTGAGTCAGCCCCCAACAGTTGAATTCATTATCAGCATCATTGTCTTTCATGCTCTTATTAGTATGGTCCATGATGTAGTGCTTAAAGCATTCCACTGCTTTCCTAACCCAAAGTTACCAAACTCCAAATTCCTCCGAACAAAAACATGGTCAAGCCTATCACAGCAATACCCCATTCCTGGTATCAACTTCTGTCTTAGCATTTCTATTGCCGTGAAGAGACAGCATGACCACAGCAACTTTTTTTTTTTTTTTTGGTTTTATGAGAAAAGGTTTCTCTGTATTGTTTTGGAGGCTGTTGGTCCAGCCTGGCCTCAAACTCACAGAGATCCGCCTGCCTCTGCCTCCCGAGTACTGGGATTAAAGGCGTGCGCCACCACCGCCCGGCGACCACAGCAACTCTTATAAAACATTTAAATGGGATGACTTGCTTACAGTTCAGAGGTTCAGTCCATTATCATCATGTCAGGACCCTGTAGTGTGCAGGCAGACACAGTGCTGGAGAAGTAGCTAAGTGTCCTACATCTTGCAGGAAACAGGAAGTGAACTGTCTCACTGGGCATGGCTTGAGCACATATGAGACCTCAAAGTCCATCTACAGTGATACACTTCCTCCAAAAAGGCCACATCTGCTCCAATAAAGGCATACCTCCTAATAATGCTACTCTCTTTGGGGGCCATTTTCTTTCAAAACACCACAGGGTACAAATCCTTTATCAATGTGTTTTGCCAATCTTTTCTCAAAATCTGTGGCTTATTTCTTCATTCACACAGAAAAGTTAATTTTAATGAAGCCAAATTTACCCATTTTTTATATACAGATTTTGCTTTGGGTATTATATCTAAGTCCATCAGCAAAGCCAACTTTAAATGATTTCCTATATTTTTTTCTAGAAGTTGTATGTATTGGATTTTACACAAAGGTCTATGATCCATTGTAAGCAAATATTTGTGAAAGGCATCAGGTATGTGTTTAGGTCTACTCCACCCCCTAATAGAGTCTCCGTTATTCCACCAACATCTATTGGAAAATTCTATACTTAATTACCTATGTACATCTGTCAAAAATCGTGGATTATATTTGTATTGACATTGAGGTGGCTTTATCAAAGAATATAATGAATATGGTATTTATAATATAAACACAAGAATATAATCACAATGAGGGCTTTAGCTAATCAATTAGTATAGAGTTGGTTTTTACTACTCAATGAGTCTATCTTTTGGCAGTGTTTTCAAATTATAATGGAACAATAAAGTAAATTGTGATACATGTTGGTGATATTTGTCCAAATCCCATTATGAACATCCTTAAAAAGTATTTTTAAAAAGTCAAGGAGCAGGCTAGGCAGACAGCTCCATCAGTTAAGGCATCTACCTTGCTGGAGTTTAGATCTCCAAAGTTGGGCACACATATCTGTAACCCCAGAGCTGGGAGTAGGGATAGAATAGTGGTGACAGGTAAATTCCTTGGAGCTCATTGTCCATCTAGTGCAGGTAGTTGGTGAGTGCTGGGCCCCATGATAGACCTTGTCTGAAAGATAAGGTGGAGAGCAAAAGTGGAGGAGACCCATGCTAACCTCTGGCCTCCACACACTTATGAGCATACATGTACATATGCACTTGCATGCACAGATAACACACACACACACACACAATCAAGGGGGCATTTTTGTTTCTTCTGAGTAGTCCTCTGATGGATGAAAGTATTGGGATTACAGAAATCACAACAGTTGGGCAGTGGTGGTGGTGCACACCTTTAATCACAGCACTCAAAAGGCAGGCAGGCAGGCAGGCAGAACTGGCGAGTTTGAGGCTAGCCTGGTCTACAAAGTGAGTTCCAGGACAGCCAGAGCTGTTACACAGAGAAACCCTGTCTCAATCAATCAATCAATCAATCAATCAATCAATCAAATTGATCAATAAATATAAAAAAACCACAACAGCCTACTACACTCTGGACTATGTTTTAATTCAGTAGCAAAGCACATTTTTATGTGGGAAAATGGTTCATATAGTGTGATGGTTAGTCTTAACTGTCAGCCTGATGAACTCTGGGATCACCTGGAAGGGAGGCAAGCCAAAGGGCTTCTCTGGGTTTCATGCAGTTGAGTGCTACAGAGATGACAATACCTCAGGTGACGCCTACTGTCTTCAACTATCCTTATGAGGCACACAATGTCAGGTATTCTGAAGATTTTTGTCCGGTGAGATTTGATTCAGGAAGGTATATGCTAAAACAAATACAATTCTGAAAATACAGACGACAGGAAGTTAGTAAAGGAGGAAAAAAAAACATTGTGAAAGTCAAAGGAGTAACAGGGGGTCTTCACACTGAAGAGACACATTTGTCACCTGAAAGGCTTTAGAGATGAGGCTGTCAAAAAACTTTCTCTTCACCATCTCAGGAGAAGAGATCAGTGGGACACACCTTTAATCCTAGCACTAGGAGGACCAAGGCAGGTAGATCTCTATGACTTCAAGGCCACCTTGGTCTGCACATCAAGCTTTCAGTCAGCTAATGCTACATAGTGACACCCTGTCCTCAAAACACAGGGGAGGTGTTGGGGGTGGGGGTGAGGGTATATTCTGGTGAAACTTTTGTTTGTTTGATTTTGTTTTTCAAGACAGGGTTTCACTGTGTAACTGGCCTGGCTGTCCTGGATCTGGCTTTGTAGACCAGGCTGGTCTTGAACTCACTGAGATCCATCTGCCTCTGTTGCCAAAGTGCTGGAATTAAAGGCATGCACTACCACTGCCCAGCTCTGGTGAAACTTTTAGGAAGAAAGTAAGGACTAAGTAGTACAAAAATGAATTAGAAGATATGAAAGAGTAGAGCAGATAAATAAATATGAGATAACAGAAACTGGTACTCCAAACCCAGATCAAGACCGAGAAAGGTCACAAGTGGAGTGAAGAACACCCTTGCATGGGTACAGGAGGACCATGTTGGGTTGAGGATGATTAACTTGACTCTAGACTGGGCCTGGGAAGACACTACAGCATCTCCTACTCTTAGGTAACCACATCAGATGATTGGCCTTGTTATTAGATCCATTTCTTATCAACAGACAAGTTTAAACAAAATTCACAAAACTAATGTATAAATCCAAGTTCTAATTTATAAATTAAAAATGAGAAATATAACTAAGAGGGTCCAATCATATTAACTCACAACAATCAAAGTGTATTAAATAAATTAGGCATTTAATAACCAGAAGAGCCTGAGAAAATGTAAACTGAACAAATACTTTTTTCCCTCCAGGGTTTCTCTGTGCAGCCCTGGCTGTCCTGGAGCTTGCTCTGTAGATCAGGTTGGCCTTGAACTCACAGAAATCCTTCTGCCTCTGCCCAAGTGCTGGGATTAAAAACAAGTACTACCAACTGGCCAGCTGGACATACTTTTAAAAATTTTTTATTTTATGTATATTACTGATTTGCCTGCATGTATGTCTATGTGAGTGTGTCAGATGCCCTGGAACTGGAATTACAGACAGTTGTGAGCTGCCGTGTGGGTGCTGGGGATTGAACCTAGGCAGCTAGACACTCTTAACAGGGCAGCCTTGAAAGGTAGTCTTCGACATATTCTCCAGCACCAACCCTGCCCACCCTAAGATGATACTGATTTGGTTATAACCCTCCCTTTTTTGCAATTGGCTTCAGTTATATTGGTGTATTCAAAAATGATAACATTATTTAAGCCAGGCATGGTGATGCATGCTTATAAACTCCACACTCTATAGTAGCAATTCACAACCTGTAGGTAGCAACACCTTTGTGGGGTCCAGATATCTATTCCAAAGGGATCACCTAAGACCATCAGAGAAAAGATATTTACATTGCAATTCATAACAGTAGCAAAACTGGCTGGGGTGTTGGAACACACCTTTAATCCCAGTACTTGGGAGGCAGGTGGATCTATGAGAGTGCGGTCATCCCAGGACAAGCTCCAAAGCTACACAGAGAAACCCTGTCTCAAAAAACCCCAAAACAAAACAAAAAACAGTAGTAAAGTTACAATTATGAAGTAGCAACAAAAGTAATTTTATGGTTGGGGATCATGACAACATGAGGAGCTGTATTAAAGAGTCACAGCATTATGAAGGTTGAGAACCACTGCTCTAGAGGCTGAGGCAAAAGGATTTCCACAATTTGAAGGCCAATCTGGGCTACACAGAAACAAACACCTTATCTTAGGGTAAAAAAGTGTATGTCAAGGCTAGGAGCACTCTCCTTCCTAGTTAGAGTCCAAAGATATGGGTTCAAAGTTCATTGACAAGTTTTAAGAATTTCTAAACTAGATGTAAAATTTTACTTGTGATTCTTGTCATTATCTTTTGAGTTTTAAGTCAAAGTCTTAGCAGACATTTTCAAATCTTAGTGTTGAGAGACAACTCACACTAGCCTTGGAGTGCTGAGAATATAAAACATACATAACATATGCATTTAAAAATTTTTAAAAAGCTACTCATGCCTAAGAATGGAGGTTAGACCCATCTTACTCTATAATATCTCAGTGATACTAGTGATATTTTAATAAATATCCAAATAATCAACATTAATAGTCAGGTGAGGTAGTTCATATCTACAACCAAACTACTAGGGAGACAGAGGCAGGAGTACCGATCATAAGTTCAAAGTCAGTCTGGACTCCTAAGAAGACTCTGTATTAACAACAACGAAAACACTGATAAACACAGAGTGAAGCTGGGTTGGTGGTACTGGGGGAGGGGGGTTGGAGGACCGCCAGTTTATGGTCAACTTTGGCTATATAGTATGTTTGAGGCAGCCTGGTCTGCATGAAACTCTTTCCCCAAAACTCCAAACCAATCAAACAGAAAAGCACAACAAACAATAAACAAAACTATAGAGTAAAAACTTCTGACCAGACCCAACCAAACAGATTGACAAACTTATAAAGAATAATACTGGAACCCACATTTATTTCGCTGAAAAACAAATTACAGAACAAAATAAGAATTGAGGAGATTGTAGGTGTCCTGGGAAGGATCAAAATGATAAACACACTAATTTTTAAAATTATCTATGGATATCTGCATCAGGCTACAGACATTCCTACAAGCATTCTCAAAACCTTCCTTAACCACCCCCAATTAAAAAGGGGCCAGCAAGGTAGCTCAGTGGGTACAGGTGTTTGTTCTGTACAAGGCTGATGATCTGAGTTTCATCACTTTAACCCACACAAAGTGGAAGGAGAAAAACAACTCCATAAAATTGCTCTCTGACCTCCACTTATATACAGTGGCATGTGTAATAATAATAACACATTATTTTTAAAAAAGGGCTCTGGATATAGCTCAGTAGCAGAGAGCCTAGCAAGTGTAAAGTTCTGCTTAAAACTCAGCACTAAAACAAAACAAGTAAAATGTAAGTGAATTATTAATAAGAGACATAATCTTCACAATTGTTCTCTTTAATGTTTCACTGAATTATTAAGGCAACAAAAATGCCTGAGAAATGTTTTATATAAAAATTTGAATAACTTCTGAGAAAAAAAAGGCAGATTTCTTCTTTTGTTAAGGCAGGTTTCACTATGTATGTAGCCTACTCTGTTTTCAATTCACCATCCTCCTGGATGCTGGAATTACAGGTGTACATTCTTAGGCCTGGCCATGAAATTTTGAGACAGGATCTCTACAGACCCCTGGCTGTCCTGGAACTCCATTTGTAGACCAGGCTGGCTTCTAACTCACAGAGATTCACCTACCTGTGCCTCCAGAGTGCTGAGATTAAAGGTATGTGCCATCATATTCAGCCAACAGAGGAACTGCTAATTTTTTGTTCTGTTTTTTGAGACAGGGTTTATGTGTGTAGTCCTAGCTGTCCTGGAACTCTATCTGTAGACAAGGCTGACCTTGAACTCAGAGATCCACCTGCCTCTGCCTCCTGAGTGCTGGGGGACAGAGGAATGCTAAACAGGTCAATCACATTCTGTGGGGATGCAACTATTCCTCCCTGTACCCTAATTTGTCTTCAGCAAATGTAATCTCAGAAAATTCAAAATTATTCTTTGTTTATTGAGAATGGAAACAAGTCCCACCAAGGATGCCAGGAAAGGTAGTTGGATATTTATTCAGATAGAGAGAAGTAACTTACATGAGAAGCTGAGAACCGGGGTCAACGCTCTATGTTCTCTGAACCTCAACCAGAATCCAAGAGAGAGCGGAGTCCTCTCTTGTCCCCTCTTTTATCCCTGGTTTCTCCCACGTACCTGTGACCATGCCTGTTCAGGTGTGATCAGTGCTACAGGTCCATGAGACCTCTCTCTACAGTTTATATTTAGGTTTTTTGTTTGTTTTTGGCTTTTTAAAAATTTTTATTTCTTGCTTGTTTCTGGAAGGAACAACATAGGGTTCCATATAGGCCAGGCTGGCCTCGAACTTGCCACATAGCCTCTCCTGCCATTCTTGCCTCCATCTCCCAAGTGTTGAGATAAGTCATGTCATCATTCTTTGCTTTCAAAACATTTTTTCTGAAGTTAACCTAGAGACATAAACAGGGAAAATAGTCACATAAAATACAGAAGAGTAATGGATGGTGATGGTGGAGAGGTACTAAGAACATGATTAAAATATCATGGGTGATAAGGGAGCTCAGTTTTAGAGCTCATGATACATAAAAGTTAACATATGATAAAGGCCTTGCACAAAAGCTTGGGAAGGAATAACTGACACGCTTGTTAGTATAGTTGACTACAGACTTGGAAATGAACCAAATTTATATCATTACATCATACCAAACAAACAAAAAACAACCTCATCAAACTTCAGAAACCAATTTCTGGTCTGATTAAGAAGGTAACAAATATACAGATGGATGAATTTCATTTAACTCAGTAAGCACTACTGCATAAGAAAGATCAAGTGTGAAGATACAACCAGGCTAATGGCACAGATCAAGCTTGAACTGGACTAGGAGCTTCTGCCCTGCTGCCTAGCCCTCATTATGCTGGCAGGTGCTTTATAGGCTACTTGGGGAGATTTGTCATCAAGTCTTAATCAGATGTAGACTCTGAGGACAACATTATCAGCTGACCAGGAAAGTTGTGTCCACTCATACAATAATGGGGAGTCTGTTATGGGGGTAACCAACCACTTCCTGGTTGAATTTGACTACTCCACAGGAGGGAATCTGTGCTGGTACTGAATACCTGATCAAGTCTATGACTGGGGAGGTCAGAAGTCTTAGTGAGGAAGTCACTGCTGTTGTTTTGCAACATGATGTCCCCAT